AAAAATGTGTTAATCATCCTTAAAACAAGTCTTCTATGTATTTTGCCACGAGAGAACCGGAACACCTCTGTATGGTGTAAAATAGTTTTGGGGTCATGCCCCACCTTAGTACTTAAAGATTTTGTTTTCTTACACCACATAGTTGGTATCCCCCATGTGAATAAACTGAACAGATGACAGAGAGGCCCACTGCCACATCTTGAGTTATTTAAGTGACATGTGACATCTAACCTATAGACCCAAATAAGGGCTGTCAGTGTTGATAAAAAGCTGCATTTCTTAGCCTTTAAGGTAAAATTAAGTGTAAGTAGACATTCTGACAGTTTCTTCTTGCCCTCAGTAGATTGTCTTGCTTACCCCTCCCTCGTACATGCCATTTAGATTTTCAGGTACAGTAGTCTCTCGGTATCCCTAAGGGATTGGTACCAGGACCCTGCAGACACCAAAATCTTCAGATGTTCAAGGCCTGCAGTCAGTCCTGTGGCGCCCCGGATATGAAAATGCGGTCCTCCATATCCGCAGGCTTCGCATCCAGCTAGTACTGTATTTTTGAATCAGCCTTGCTTGAATCCTATCACTTTGTATACTCAGATAAAGTGTGTAAATGAAGGAGAGAGTGACTCTGGACTTAACACCTCTTTCATCAGTTTCTCTTCATTTCTTGAATTCTGTTTTTAAAAAAACCACAAACCGTGAGAATCTGATGGTAGTTGTGATTTTTTTTTTTTTTTTTTTTTAAATCTCTTCATTTTATAAATGTGAAAACTGAGAAAGAAACAGTGCTCAGTTATAGAGCTGGGTCCAGAATTATGTCTCCTCACTCAGCACTAGGCTGGGTGTGTGTGTGTTAAGGTCATCTGTGGGTAGTGTGTTGATGACTAAGCTCCCCAGATGGGAACTAGTGAAGATCTGTTGATAGCTGACTTCCTAAAGACCAGTTTCCGTCTCAGATCTCTCTGCTCTGTTCTTTTGTTTTCCCAGGCATATGGCCTTGAAATCATCTTTAGTTTTATCTTTTTGCTTCTTATTGACAGATGCTTTGTCTAGCTATTACTGAAACGTGAAGAATACTCATAGATTCTCATTTCCTGAGAAGTTGCCTTCTAAGTGAATCAAGATGCCACGTAGAATCACTCTTGAACTGTTTTTAGCAATGAAGGTGAAATCCTTGTATGTGTTACTCTCCAAAACCCTTCAAGAGTTTTAACAAAGAATGCATAGGTAAAATAAAGCAAAACGGAATCAGTTTAAAAAAAAAATCAAGTTATAAAGATGGGGAAAGAAATACACATTTACCATAAAACTTTTCACAGTCCTGGTTAAGGAAACTGACACTTGAACTTGAAACTAAGGTCTGAGTTTCTTAGCAACCATGACAAAACTGTGATCTAACTATCCTTGTCTAATGGGAGGACAAATACCGGTTTGTTTTCACTCCCTAATTCTAAGGAAAATTTATTATTACCCTAATGGATTACAACAAAACTAAAATAGTGGATATGCAGAACTGTTTGTTACTGCGTCCTTTGAAAGCCAAAGCAAAACAGGACACACACCAGGTGTCAGAGTGAGGCAGCCCAGAGGTACATTTTTCTCCCAACCAGGCTGTAAACAGAGATCAACCTTGAATCAATGATTATTTCAAGAATCATTTTTCAGTCCAGTTTGGTGAAAATTGAGGTCACTATTGAGTGCCTAAAGGACATGTTTTCTGCATTGTTGACTGAAAGAAGGTACCTTGGTATGTAGGTAGTGAAGACCTTGTCCCATTGGGTCAAATAAGAACCTGACTCTTGGTCTTGTGTAAAGGGCTGTTTCATCTCTAAGGGAAAGTCATAGATGGGCCCTGGATATTTCTGAGATAACATTTAGTACTCCAATGAAGCCCTGAATTCTAAGCTACAGAGCAGGAAAGATAGTGTCTAGGAAAAGAGACACTAAGTGCCTACCCTTTTCACAGAACAATCTACATGCAGCTTCTGTAATATGTTTATTTAGAATCACATCCCACCCTGCCCTAGTCCTCAAATAATCTAGTGTGGATTTTAGACAGTTTTCTATTGTCTAAGACAGGGATCCCCAACCCTTGCTCCATGAGTGGACTAGTTCATGGCCTGTTAGGAACAGGGCCACATAGCAGGAGGTGAGCAGTGGGCAAAGGAGCAAAGCTGCATCTGTATATACAGCTGCTCCCATGGCTCACATTACTGCCTGAGCTCTGCCTGGTGTCAGATCAGTGGCAGCGTTAGATTCTCATAGGAGCGCGAACCCTATTGTGAACTGCACATGCGAGGGACCTAGGTTACTCCTTATGAGAATCTAAGGCCTGATGATGTGTCTCTGTCTCCCATCACCCCAAGATGGGACCACCCAGTTGCAGGAAAACAAGCCCAGGGCTCCCAGTGATTCTATATTACGGTGAGTTGTATAATTAACTCATTATATATTACAATGTAGTAGTAGAAATAAAGTGCACAATAGATGTAATGGCCTTGAATCATCCCCAAATCATCCCCCCTCCACGCCGGTCCATGGAAAAATTGCCTTCCATAAAACCGGCCCCTAGTGCCAGAAAGGTTAGGGACTGCTGGTCTAAGACAGTTTTCTATTACACAGTCCAGACTGACAATGGCAAGGAATTTAAAATCCCAGCTATTTTTCTGAGATACTCCTGTTCTCCTATATTGAATCCCTTTGTTAATTTCTTTTCTTGTTTAGATGAAATACATGTGGTGATTTTGCAATCAAGGCAGCATTGCATAATAATTAAAGGGCTAGCCTTGGGGCCGACCATTTCAGATTCTAGCCCTCCCATTTGCCTTGCATGAGTACCTATCATCTCAAGCTCAGTTTTCTCCTCTGTAAAATGGCTATGTCTGGTGACGTTATGAAGAAGACAGAATGAGGTAAGGAATACCAAAGTGTCAGTCTGAGTGCACTCAATTACTCTTAGGGTTTTTTCTCTTCTCTTTGGTATTTGTACTCTTTGGAGAAAATTCTCCTGAGAGAGGAGATACATTAGGTTTTTGTCACTCTGTTCCACAAGAGGAGATACAAAAATCTTTCAGAATTGTATTTAATCTTTCAATTTGTGGAAAACAAATTAAGATGGCAAATAATCTTAAAATAAGTTAGTGGAGTTAATGATTTCCGAGTAGGGGGAACCCTAATGATTTATATGTGCCCTGAAGCTGAATTAACTTGCAGAACCTAGCATAGTGCCTGAGTTCAGATTTAGGAGCCTACTGGCTGGACGCAGCACTGATTAGCTGTATGACCTTGGGCAAGTGAATCAACCTTCCTGTACCTCAGTTTTTTTATTTATACAATGGGGCTAGTATCAGCTTCTAGATCCTGGGATTGTTCTCCCAGCCTCTACTTCAAAATAGGGTAGTTTTGAAGTTTAAATGAGTTAATAAACATTAAACCCTTAGAATCATGCCTGGCCCTGTTTGCCGTTATTTATTATTGTTATGATGCTGCTGCTGTAGTGTGAGTAAGGTCAAGAGTAATGCAAGTTGCCAGAAATACTTAATTAAAACGAAATGTCTTCTTTGAACAAGCAGTTATAAGGACTTGTTTTTTTCTTTCTGCAAAACTCGAGTGTTTGAAAAGAGTAAGTGTATTGCAGCCTTATTCAGTGATGTCCTTACAGGGATGCTGCTTTTGTGCATCAGTCTTTTGTGACATGAAAATGTTGCTAAAGAAAAGGATGAGCAGTTGGTGAAGGCATCACAGGGTGTTGTAGCAACAACCATCAGTTTGCAGTGATTACGCTATGGTTGGTTGTTCGCCTATGCTTCCACTTTCTCTGCAGTAATGCCTGTGTGCATTATTTACAATTCCAAATTGAAGCCATCCGTTCCTTTCCTGTCATGCACCTTGAAATCTGTGTACAGTCATCCCTCAGTATCTGTGAGGGATTGGTTTCAAGACCACCCCCCACACCAAAATCCTGAAGATTCTCACGCCCCTGATATAATGGCATGATGTTTGCATTTAGACTGTGCACATCCTCCTGCATGCTTGAAATTCCATCTCTAGATTACTTACAGTACTTAATATAATGAAATGCTATGTACGTAGTTGCCATATTATATTGTTTAGGGAATAATGACAAAGTCTGTTCGTGTTCAGTATAGCTGCAACCATTGTAGGCCTAGTTACATTTTTCACAGTATGTGGAACCTGCAAATATAGAGGACATACTATATGGACTTCATCTAAGGGATTAATGACATTGCAGAATGATGTCTTTTTAAAAAAAAAAAAATGTTCGGATGTACAGGCCTTTATTAACCAAGTGCCTCAGGAATAAGCTCAGTGTGTGTCACAGCATGGAGAAGGGGGATTGCTCTCAAGGGTAAGAGAGGGGCCGAGGGGCAGCTTGGGAGTGAAGAGGAGAGGAAGGACAGAGGGGCTAGGGCTAGCTCCCCACCCCCACCCCAGGCTCCCTAGCTCCTGAAGGATTCCACCAGGCCACTCTGTGCCCCTTGAAGAAAAATCTGCTAAGGAAGAAGAAAAAGATGGCTTAGTGTTTTTAATGTGATAGACAAATGAATTTTTAAGTGATTATTTGCATGAATCTAATTCTTGATGATAGTTATTTGAGATATGTGATAAATTATAACAAGCCCAGACCTTTTACCCTTAGCTCTGGGTATGCATATACGTGAGGAACTTAATGGGAATAGAAACAACCCTTTATCTAGTCTAATAATAAACCACCATATTGTACCAGATACAAAATATTATGAACTGAAGACCTAATATTGTTGAAATGCCACAACTGCTATGAGTAAAACATTTCAGCTGGGCATGGTGGTTCGTGCCTATAATCTCAGCACTTGGGGAGGCTGAGGTGGGAGGATCACTTGAGCCCAGGAGTTCAAGACCAGCCTAGGCAACATAGCAAGACCCTATCTCTACAAAAAATAAAAAAGTTAACCAGGCATGATCGTGAGTGCTTGCTTGTAGTCTCAGCTACTCTGGAGGCTGAGGTGGGAGGATCACTTGAGCCCAGGAAGTCAAGGTTGCAGTAAGCTGAGATGGTGTCCATGTACTCCAGCCTGGGCAACAGAGCAAGACCCTGTCTTAATATGTCAATCAGTATTTTATACTTTTGGATACTGTATGGTTTTCCCACCAAATACCGTCACCACTACCGAAGAACCATGTAAGTAAATTCTCTAAATGGTTCTTAACTTTGTGCCGGACACCTGAGAATGTGCACAGGTTTATTAGCTGTGGTCCTTCATTTTGAGTCTGTATAGAATCCTGTTCTCCAGTGATGTTACTCAGTGTTATCAGTTTTCTTTTTTCTTCATGTTGCTTTCTTACTGTATTCAGAAAATTTTCTTTAAAAATGTTTCAGATTATTTTCACTTCGGTGGGCCCTTCACTCGTCTCTAATAAAATGTGAACTGAATACATTTTCAGGTAAGATCTTTCAGTTCATGCTGCAGGCTCTCCTGTCTGTGTGAAGATCTGACCTATGGAGTACTTTCTCTTCATTTTTTCCCCCTATTTCTTTTTGTAAAATAAATTTTATTTTATATATTTGAGGTTTACAACATGATGTCGTGGGATTCACGGATACTAGTGACTCTAGTGAAGCAAATTCACCTATCAATGATCTCGCACATAGTAGGTCCTTTGTATCTGCACGTTCCACGTTTGCAGATCCTGCCAACCACAGATCGAAAATACTTGGGAGAAAAACCAAAAAATAATAATATAACAGTGAGAATAACACACATGTTTAAAATGCAGTTTATTCACCTAGCATTTGCATTATATTAGGGATCATAGAGATTTAGCATTTACAGGAGTATGTGTGCAGATTATATGCAAAGCTACATTATTTTATATCAGCAACTTGAGCATTGTGGATTTTGGTATCCTGAGGGATTTCTGGAACCAGTTGCCCACTGATCTCGAAGGATGATGATGGTTAATGTGTGTGTGTGTGTAACAAGAGTAACTAAAATCTACCTATTTAACAAAAATCCCCAACATAGTTTTATGAACTCTAGTCCTCATGTTAATACATAAGGTCTACGTTAGATCTCTAAACTTGTTCATCTTCTTTATCTGCTGTTTCATATCTTTGGACCTCCATCTCTTCATTTCATCTTCCACCTCAGCCTCGATAAGCATGGTTTTATTCTCTAAATGCATACCTGACCTTTTTTGAAAAGAGTCCAAATATAAATAAGATCATGCAACATTTTTCTCTCTGTGCCTGGCTTATCTCACGTAGCATCAAATGATCCTTCTGCCTCAGCCTACCAAAGTGCTGGGATCACAGGTACAAGGCACCATGCCCCACCCCTTTCATTTTCTTAACCCTGAGACTTGGATTCTGTCGTTCGTGACCAAAATTTTACAAGGAAAGTTTTCTGAATGATTCACCTTTCTTCTGAAATGTATTAGAATTATGGTTCATTAGTAGTATGATGTTGATTTTTTTTTTTTTTTTTTT